AAAAAAAAAAAAAAAGCCTAGTGGTTGTATGCTTCACTTTTTTTTTCTGTCCTTCCTGTTCTGCATAAGACTATCTTTGATTGGGAATGCACAGCCATGATCAGTGCATCAAAAGGTGGGATGTTAAGAAACACCTAGTGGTAGTGGTGGTAGCTGCTGAGGTGCTGTTGGAGACTTACCTATGAGAGAAACCTGAGTTAGTGTTGTAGAGAATGGCCTCTGCTGCTTGGAACCTTGCACCTGCTTTTGGGTCATAAGAATGAAGTGTTCAGCCTTTTTATGGGGGCATTTGCGTAAAAATGGCAGGGCAAGTCCTCTCCGAGGGAATTGTATGTTGGATTAATTTGAGATGCATGGCTGAAGAATTGGAGGCAGTAGGCTGGCTACCTGTTAGCCAAGGAAATGGTGCTTGTGTTGAGTTAACAGGATTCAAGAGGCTAATGCTGCCTATCTAGAGAAATGTGTGCCTTTAGCAGGTGCCCCTAAGTCTCCCCATTATGCCTACAGCAAAGACTGTTCCTCTGCCAGTCTGGTGCTGCCCTTCACACAAGTGACATCTCTAAATAAAGTGACACCTAACTGCCTGGAGTGGTGAGAAATTTGTTTATAGGCTGGTTGGAGAGTCTTTATGTCTACAGCAAATCAGCTACTGAGAAATGACCAGGGCAATTTTTATGCAAATCAATTCAGATCTCTAGGATTGAGAGTCAATGTATGAGCTAGAAACTCTGACTCTTCTTGTCAACTGGCTCGGCTGTAGCATGCCATTTGCTGTGCATACAAAACAGTTTTTGTCTTCACTCCCCTACATACCTTTCTGTCTACTAATGAAGTCCCATTGCTACCTACTGGGGAACAAGAATCACAGATGAGTACTTTAGACTGTTCAAAGGACTGTACAGACATAATTTGCTAATCCTCAGCACCTTTTTTAGTTGGCGACATTCTATTCCACTCAAAACTGAATTTAAAGCTGAAATGTGAAATGCCCTGTCCAAGATCTTGCATCAGGTCAGAGCTGTAGTACACGCTAGAGCTGTAATAAACCCTTCTAGGCCATATCATATAGTTGTTCCCCTTCTAATATGGGTAAACTTGTGCTTCAGACCTTAGTGGCCTACATGCAAAGAGGCTGGGATCTCTAGCTTTTGGCTGCTAGGAGACCAGGATTCTTGATTTCCCAACCTCAACTTTAACTCCTAATTAGTACAAGATGCACTATATTGCTCTTGAAACAGAATTATGCTATCTAATAATGTTACTTCTGTTTAGTGAGTTACCTTTTTTTTGCCCATTAGGTGAATGCAGCTGGCCTGTTTTTAGGTCCTTGTCCTCTCTGCTGAATGCACTTCAAGCATTGTACCACTAGAGGGTAGTGCCTCTCCATAGAAAGTTTAGGATTATACAATAGGCCTGTGCAAATAGGGAAGTATTTGATTTTGGATTTGGATTTGGATTTGGCCAAATCAGCTTTGGAAGATTCCAAAGAGATTTTGGAGAGATTCGGCCATAGACTATAATAGGAAATTACTGAACTACCTTTAACTTTGTCATTTTTTGACAGATTTGGATGAAAACCGTATGGATGGTAGCCCCTTCTGAGGGCACAAAACCTGCTAAGTTTCAAGGAGATGGGTGCAGGTGTTTCTGGGGAAACTGCACCCCAAGGTGCTGACGAGCAAAATTCATGACATGTATGTCTGTTAAGGCACAATGGGATGAAACCAGCAGGGATGATAGCCTGTAACAGGGGTCCTTCCCAGTGCTCAGACAGAAGCAGCTCACAAAAGGGACAGAAAGGCTGCGGACAGAGGCTTATGTGCTGTGTCTATGTCCCTCCCCCAGAGCACTGTGATTAGAAGGGGACTCAAGGGCAGGAAAGATCAGTTGCTGGCCAGCTACAGTTATCAGTCTTCCCCCTGCTCCCCCTCCCTCTTCTCAGTTTCTGTTCCCCTGAAAGACTGCCCTCCAAACCTCCTAATACTTTCTGAATAGATTTGGAGGCTCTGAATTGGAGTGAAATTTGGAGGGTTTTTTGTCTCCCAATTCAACCTGAATTCAGTGATTCGGCCTCTGAATTGGACTGGATCTTCTCCTAATTGAATTGGCAACCGAAGCTTTGTGCACCCCTATTATAGACCTTATTAGTGCTGTATTATCCTTTCATCTACATTTGAGATGGGATTTTTCCAGCAGTAGGAAGCTCCTGGCAAGTTCTAAGAGCCAAGAATTTATTACAAAAAATGATTGCATTTTTTGCTCCATGCACTGAAGTCAAGAAACCAACTTCTGTCCTATTTTTATGGAGGCACCCTAAAAGCAGGTGTTGCCTATGTGCATGTTCCCTTCCACTATCATGCTTTGCCCTGCCTTTTTCCCCCTCTTCTGTCTCCTAAAGGTGTAGAGGATCAGCAGTTAGCATTCCAGAATAGAGGCAGCACTAAGGTTATATCAGGGTAGAGAGAGAACTATTCTCTTTCTACTTTGTAGTTGAGGTAATTGTCCACTTCCCCACTAGTAGTATTGATCATTGGCAGTATGCGAACACCACTCCTGCAGAAAAACTTCCTGGAAAATGGAATTGATGAAGCTGTGGAACTCCGTAAAGGATGACTTGACCACTATCTTGATTGCTGCTGGAACCAGGGAAGCTTTGAACCCCTAGCTAGGGACAGAAGTTGCACACAAACTGGCTTATGTGATCAGAAACTGGCTTAAACCTGTAACGACAAAAGTTCAGTGCACATAAACCAGTTTCAACCATTCTGAAACTGGTTTAAGATGAACCTGGTTGAATATAGTATCAGACCCAACTAATTTAGGTCAAACTGGCTTATGAAACTTCTGTCCCTTCCTGGTTCAAGTTTTTTAAATTGGTCCCCCAGCATGCTTTTCAGCCCTGAGTTGGTCTGTGCTGTCTACTCCAGAGAGCAGGGCTGTTCCCACCCCCTGTGCTCCCTAGCTGAAGCAGTAAGAGCTGGTTTACTGACTGAGTTGCTTGTCTCTGCTGCCCCCCCCGGCAAACCCTGACTGGGATCAAGGAAGGGGGGTTAAACTTGCCTTCCCCTGAGTACAGAGCTGCCCTGCCTGCCTGGTTTACTTGGTGTGGGCTGCAAATGGACTAGAAATCCTAGAGGCACCTGGAAGAGGAAGTGATGAGCAGCTCTGCAGAGTTCTACTGCTGTGACTGTGAACTGCAAATCCCTTGGCGGCAACAGGAAGAAGAAAGTGGCGCACAGCCCATGTTGGCTATGTGCTGGAGAGCCATGCTCTAGTGCCTCCTGGCTTGAGCCACTGCAGGCATGTGGCTGCATTTCCTGAATCAAAAGTGAAGGCCTGTTCATTTGCTTACTGATTTTATTCTTTGCAGCTTAGACTAACCTACAAAGGCTGAATCAATTTAGCCTTGGGCTTTTTGACTCTCTGTACTTAACCCTTAAGAGCTGCTTGTCCAAAATTGGCTATTCCTATCCACAGAGCAAAGATCAAAAGGCTGTTGTGGTGTGAACTTGTCAGCATGGTATGGAAGGTACAATGGCTTTGTACTCTGTAAGTCCTGGCTATGCATGGCATCTTGTATAGGCTGCTCAGCTGGCCCCTAGCAACAGCCCTCAAAGTAGATCCCTATGGATCAGCAGCCTCTCCATGTGGCAAAGCAGCTGGGTATGTGGTGTTTCTACGCATGATCAGGTACCAAAAAAGCTGCTGCAGTAAGTCCTATAAGTCTTGATATCAAGCCTTTGACCTGCTTTTAGGCCTTGGCATAAGTAAATTTATCCAGTGTAAGTAAAGCTATTTTTATTTGCTAAGAGCAGAGCAATTTTTATGAAAACTTGTGCTTTCACTTTGAAAATTATAGAATGTGCTTTATTGTGGAAGTCAATAAACTAACTAATTCCAAAATCATGAAAATCACAAGTGACAAAACTATTACAAGGTATTACTACATAAGAAAAGTGTTGTTCTTTCTGTCTTGGTACCAAATAAGACCCTCCAAACACAATCAAGTCACAATTTTTTAGAAAAGATGTCAGCTATCTTTGTAGATCCTGATTTGTTGCATTCGCATCCATTCCCTTACAAGGCAGAAGAAGCCTTAAATGAGATCAACCTACACCATATAAATATTTAACTGGTAAGAAACCATGACAAGTTGGGAGGAGCTGACCAGCATGGTCCAGAAGCTGCTTTCACCTTTCCCTCTTAAGTGGTATGAATATGTTCTCTGGTTTGTTTGGTTTTTTTTGTTTTTTTTCTTAGGCATGCTTCT